GATGGAGAGAGTGGGGTGCCCCATGCTGCAGCCAGCGTGGGCGCTGGTGCACAGCTGGGATGCACAATCATTGCGTGGCACAGCTGGCGTGGCTCAGCACCCGCTCTGGGAGCAATGGGGGTTGCTACTAGTCTGTGAAGTCACTTGGGGAAAGGGGGATGCTGCTCTGCCCAGCCTGGGACTGGCCCTCGTGTCCCGTGTGCCCCAGACACTGGCCCTCAGCCCCTGGCCCTGCTGGCCGGGGCATGCACCCGGTGACCATGCCGGGAGCAGCTCTGCCACTGGCCGGGGCTGCCGATGGACACTGTCGGCGTGTACAGGTTGCTACTAGTCTGTGAAGTCACTTGGGGAAAGGGGGATGCTGCTCTGCCCAGCCTGGGACTGGCCCTCGTGTCCCGTGTGCCCCAGACACTGGCCCTCAGCCCCTGGCCCTGCTGGCCGGGGCATGCACCCGGTGACCATGCCGGGAGCAGCTCTGCCACTGGCCGGGGCTGCCGATGGACACTGTCGGCGTGTACACGTCCCTGGGCCTGAACGAGAGACTCTTTGTGGTGGATGTGCAGGAGCTGCCCACGCTGGTGAGGGCTGGGTGAGGAGAGCAGAGGCAGGGTGGGCCTTGTGCCCTCTCATTGCCGAGGGCGGGAGACCCCCCCAGCTCTGGGACCCCAAGACAGCTGGTCCAGCACATACCCACCAAGGCGCTGCTGCCTGTGGCCAGAGACACTCCGAGCTGGGATCTGGTCGGTGTGGGACGAGGAGCCCCCAGGCTCAGCATGGCACCACACAGTGCCTGGCCAGCAGTGCCTCTGCCCAGTTGCCACCCTCTGCTCCCAGCGACAGGAGCTGCTTCCTGGCCTGTGGCATGGCCGGCTTGGGGTCAGGCCCCCATGGCCATCCTGCCTGGGCGTTTGTGGCCACCTAAGATCTCCTGCTGAGTTGGCAGGGCTCCCGCTCAAGGCTGCGGGCCCTGCCCACTGGCCACGCAGAGCATCCCGGGTGATGCTCTCTCCTTCTCTTCCCAGACCCCTCATCACGAGCAGCTGGGGCCCACCGCCGGCTCCTCAGAGGTCCTGGATCTCATCAGCTCCAAGGACTTGGCCAGTCAGCTGACGGATTACGACTGGAACCTCTTCATCAGTGTCCACCAGGTAACGGGCGGTGCCGGAGCGGTACGTCTGGGTCAGACGCAGGCTGTGGGCCAGGGCAGGGCTGAACTCCAGCCTTGTGTTTTGAAGGTGGAGCTGATCTATTACATCTTTGGGCAGCAGACGTTTCCCAGCGTGACCACGGCCAACCTGGAGCGTCTCATGCGTCGCTTCAACGAGCTGCAGTACTGGATCGCCACCGAGCTCTGCCTCTGCGCGGAGCCGGCCAGGCGGACCCAGCTGCTCAGGAAGTTCATCAAGCTGGCTGCACAGTGAGTGATTTGCAATAAGCGGAGCCAGCCCGCGTCATGGGGACAGCCTGCCAATGGGCCCTGCCGGGCCATCCAGGCCAGCAGCGGCACCCGCCCTGAGTAACTGTCTCTTCATTTCAGTCTCAAGGAGCAGAAGAACCTGAATTCCTTCTTCGCGGTGATGTTTGGCCTGAGCAACACGGCCGTGAGTCGCCTCGCCAAGACCTGGGAGGTACAGCCCAAAACACAGCCCTGCCGCCCCGGGTCAGCCCAGCTGGGGAACGCCCCCCAGGCCCAGGGACCAGCACCCATGGTAAATCAGCATCTCCCTGCTGGGCCCTGACAAGCAGAGGAAGAGCCAATGGGCATGTCCAGCTCCCCAGGCCACTGGGGTGAGACGTCAAGCCAAGACGTAGGACACGGGAAATGACAGCCTGGCCCTCGGCTCCTGACTGCCTAGTGAGAGCCCAGCTCTGGCGATGGGCGCAGAGCGAAACTCTGCCCTCGGTCACACTGAGCGGAGGGGCAAGGACCAAAACACTGGTTATAGGCCAGGGCCCAGTGACACCGAGTGGGAACCAGAACCCAGGGCCCACAGACACCGAGCGCTGAGCGGGAACCAGAACTCAGGGCCCAGAGACACCGAGCGCCAGGGGGGAACCTGGACCCAGGGCCCAGTGACACCGAGCGGGAACCAGAACTCAGGGCCCAGAGACACCGAGCGCCAGGGGGGAACCTGGACCCAGGGCCCAGTGACACCGAGCGGGAACCAGAACTCAGGGCCCAGAGACACCGAGCGCCAGGGGGGAACCTGGACCCAGGGCCCAGTGACACCGAGCGGGAACCAGAACTCAGGGCCCAGAGACACCGAGCGCCAGGGGGGAACCTGGACCCAGGGCCCAGTGACACCGAGCGGGAACCAGAACTCAGGGCCCAGAGACACCGAGCGCCAGGGGGGAACCTGGACCCAGGGCCCAGTGACACCGAGCGGGAACCAGAACTCAGGGCCCAGAGACACCGAGCGCCAGGGGGGAACCTGGACCCAGGGCCCAGTGACACCGAGCGGGAACCAGAACTCAGGGCCCAGAGACACCGAGCGCCAGGGGGGAACCTGGACCCAGGGCCCAGTGACACCGAGCGGGAACCAGAACTCAGGGCCCAGAGACACCGAGCGCCGGGTGGGATCCAGAACCCAGGGCCCAGTGACACCGAGCGCCGGGTGGGATCCAGAACCCAGGGCCGGGTGACACTGAGCCACGAGTGGGAACCAAAACTCCAGGAAATTTTGGGCACATTTGGATCTGGCTTCCAAACCCATTTCTAATGCTGCTCAGCCATGGGCTCTAGGGGTTCATTCGAGTGATGTGGCTACAGTCCCGGTGGGGCTCCCCCTCTCACTTCCCTCCATGTCGTCTGGTTCAGATCCAGATCCATCTTCACTCCCTTCCCTAAGGCCTGTGTCCCTGCCAAAGCAGCTGCAGCCCAGTGCTGGCTGAAACAATCCCAGTGTCTAGTTTCCGGGCCAAGGCCTGAGCCTGCCTTCCTCATGTCCAGAGCCCCTATGGGAATGGGGGGCAGTTCTGGGACCAGGGCCTGGCTGGGAGGGGCTGAGGGGAGCCAGCCTCCAAGCAGCGCCCATCCTGGAAGAGGCTCTGAGAACGTGCGCGGCTGTGATGGAGGATGATCAGGGCTGGGGTGCAGTGGAGCAGCGGGGTCCTGACGCAGGGGGTGGAGGATTCTCCCGGGGCTTGGGGGGCAGGCTCACCCGCTCTCTCTCTCACACAGAGGCTGCCGCACAAAACCAGGAAGCTGCACTCGGCACTGGAGCGGATGCTGGTAAGTTTGTTCCTTTGCCGGCCCCTTCGCCTCCCCGGCTGACTCCTGGAGTAGGCGGGACACCTCCAGGCAAAGTCCCATCGCCCAGCCCAGGTGTTAAGCCCTGCTGGGCTGGGCTGGCCAGTGCCCAGGGGAGGGGCCTGTGGGCGGGACGTAGTGCAGGTGAAGTAAGAAGGGGCACCCCCATCTGGGCTGCATGCCCAGGCAGCGGTAAAGGCTCTGGCTCCAGCACCGCAGGAGAATCCCCTACTCACTGGCGACTCCAGATATTCTGGGTGTGAGCTGGGGCGCTGGCTTCAATGTCATCTGGGTGAGGACTTTCTGCCTCCCTAAATCCCCCGCAGCATCCACTGGCTGCCCTTCCAGCCCGGAGCCACTGCAAACAGGCCTGTGCTCCCCCAGCAGCGCGAGGTGACCCTCCATCCGGGGCTCTTTCAGGCTGCCAGGCTGAACTCTGCCGGCTGGGGACCTGGCCTGGCAAAGGCACCACCCTGGGGCCCAGAAAACAGCCGCTGCTCTGAAACCCTCTTCTCCTTCCAGGACCCCTCATGGAATCACAGAGTCTATAGACTGGCCGTCGCCAAGCTGAGCCCACCCATCATCCCCTTCATACCCCTCCTGCTCAAAGGTACGGAGCAGCTGGGAGCAGAGGGGCTGGGCAGTAACTCTGTGCCCAGGTTTGCTGGGACTCCAGCCCAGCACCAGGTCCCCTTTTCCCCAGGGAGGTCGGTTCCCCTGGGCATTAATGCCCGGAGAGGGCAGGCCGTGGGGTCCGGCTGGGTCCAGGCACCTGCCCTGAGGAAACCCTGGGGACTCCCCACTTCGCAGGGCCCCATGGCTACTGAAGGGGCAGCACAGTGGCTATATCTACACTGCGCTGGTTTTGTGCAAGAAATATGCAAATGAGGCTAAGCGTGGAATATCGCCGAGCTTCATTTGCATAATTAATGAGCGGCCGCTTTTTGCGTAAAAGCCTCTTGCTCAAAAAGCGGCCGCTCATTAATTACGCAAATGAGGCTCAGCGATGTTCCACGCTTAACCTCATTTGCATATTTCTTGCACAAAACCAGCGCAGTGTAGACATAGCCAGTGACACAGCCTGTCCCATGGGGCTGGGGTCCTTCCTGTGGGGTCAGGGCTCCATCCTGTGGGGTTGAGGGGCCCAGGGTTCCTTCCTGTGGTGTCAGGACTCCATCTGTGGGGTTGAGGGGCTTGGGCTCCATTCTGTGGGGTTGCTGTTGGGCTACTTTTTGGGGGCATTCTGAACCCACACCTCCATTACTGCCCTGCCAGACAGAGGAACATTGGCAGGATGGGCTCAGCACAGGCTCAGGGGCAGCAGCCACCAGCTGCAGAGCCCAGCTGTGGGGTTCGAACTCCCGTGTCTGCTGATGGTCTGGCCCCTAACCTGGCCCCTGTGGCAGGAAGCTGCACCACGGGGGCTGGGCACTGACTCCAAGGTGTCTCTTTGCAGACCTGACCTTCATCCACGAGGGCAACCGCACGCTCACAGAGAACCTCATCAACTTCGAGAAGATGGTGAGTCAGGTGGAGCCTTTCCCCCAGCCCCATCCCTTGCAAAGAGACGTGCTGCCCCAAGCAAAGGCATTGGGAGGCGGAGCCTGTCCCCCTTCAGCCCCGCCCCCCGCAAAGAGACGTGCTGCCCCAAGCAAAGGCATTGGGAGGCGGAGCCTGTCCCCCTTCAGCCCCGCCCGTCGCAAAGAGACGTGTTGCCCGCAGGCGAAGGCATTTGGGGCTCCCCAGCAGACAGCTCCGAGACCTGTTTCTCCAGGGAGGAAGCTGCACTGCAATGGGGATCCAGGGGTCCTAGCTCCTGGCCATGTGCTCAGACCGCCCAGCCGGCTCTGGCTCACAGCTCTGCTGAGAGTGCCCATGCACAGGAGCTGGACAGGGCTATCTGGGCCGTTCCCTTCACCCACCACAGGGAAGCACTCCCCGTCTGCAGCTGCTCTGCCCCATGGCAGTGCCCCAGCCGGGCATGGCTGGCTCCACCTGCCCCTCCTGCAGTGCCACCAAGCTGAGCAGAGGAGCTGCCCGTCGCAGTGCCTCCCCAGTCCATAGGCTTGTGGCTGCTTAGCACGTGGCCCTTTGCTGGGGGTGTCTGTATGACGGACGTGGGCATGTGCTGGGCAAGGCTTCCAGAGTGGGAGAAGAGGGGAGCCTGTGAGGATGTGGCCTGCAAGGAGCTGGGGTGTGGCCGTGCCACGCTGGTTGGTCAGTGAGTGACCCTGTCCTTCCTGCAGCGAATGATGGCCAAGGCCGTACGCATCATCCACCACTGCCAGAGCCACACGCATGGTGAGTGCGCACGGGGCCTGTGGGCAGGACAGCTCCCAGCCCTGGGAAAGCCGTGCTCCAGGGCCGTGGCGGGCAGCACCTCCCCTGGGAACCCACCTCCAGTGCTGGGCTCCGCCAGCCAGGGCAGCCCAGAGGGATCAGGAGGAGAGGGTACTGGGGCAGGGGGGCGGAAGGGCACCTAGCAGGGAGATGTTGGCAGATGGGGGCATTGGAGCAGGAGGGCTGGGAGGAAAAGGGGCGCATGTGTTGTGATGCTTTCTGGGAGCGCCCAAGACTGTGAGGCACCATGTCTGTACCTGCCAGAGTCAGCTCCCTGGCTCCACCCGCCATGGGCAACGCAGGCCCCGCTCTCTCTCTCCAGCTCAGTGACCCCTCAGGTGTCCCCGAGGCTTGTGGGACACTCCCCGGAGCAGGTCCCCAGCTTATGCCTTGCACCTGGGGGGCCTCCCCTCACTCAGCTCCTAGCACTTGGACAGTGCGTCCTACAAACAAGTCAGAGGCCATTTAAGGAAGAACAGAGGACAGCCTGGAGGCAAAGGGTTACGTTAAAGTGAGGACGCTAACCCCCCTCCTGAAGGTTAGCTCACCCAGCGTCCCCCTTTGAGTGGGATCCTCCATCCATAGGGCAGCTTGTGCCCATACAGTCCCAGCCCTCCATTGTCTTCTCTTGGGAGCAGGGTGCACCCCTCCCTGCTGTGCGCTTCCGGGCTAGAATCGCCCTGGGGCTTTGCAAGCCCTTGATCAGCATTTTGCTAGGACTCTGAGGAGGTGTCCAGTGTCCAGGGCTCACTTTCCACACAGCCGGCTGGGCGTCTGCTGCCAGCGGAAATGAGGGATGTTGCATTTCATTTTCTGGCTAATGGAATAGTCAGTGCAATTTGCATCGACTATTCGATTGGTCGATAAGGGCACTTGAAAGGCAAAAGCGCTGCGGGGAGCATGGAGCTCGCTGGTCCTGGAGCGCCGCACGGAGCCCGGGGTCAGCTGGGGACTTTCCCCACAGCTTTTCAAAGTAGCAGCAGCACATGGAGCCCATCT